AAAYYYMTTTTMYAAAAAATCCATGAGATTGCAATAAATGTCTGCATACCAGCAAATTGAGGGAAAATGTGTGTAAATTACAGACAATCTGTTCATGTGAGCAGTCGTCAGTTGTCCTACACGAGACGCACAATGGTGTACATGCCTGAGGCGTGCCTATCACTTTTGTTGACATTGAGCTGACTCATTTAAATACACCTTAACATTTATGAGGTACTTTGCATTGACCGTTTATGGTTGAGTGTGGGTGTGTAGAGGGCAGAACCTGAGGCAGGATCTTGTGTGCAAACTCTGAGGTGCGGCTGTGATCTAAAAGAAAATTGTTGAAGGTGTGCCTGCACATGGTTTTATAAATCTGAATTCCCACCCTTTTCGCCGTTTGGCCGTACATTCACTTTTAGTATAAATTCTATGCAATCCTTTATAAATGAGGCCCCAGATCTTTACCTTCACAAAGATCCTCAAGGGCACATTGTTTGCCCATCAGTCTACATGTGTTTTGTGGACTTGGGGAAGGCATTTGGCCATACTCCCTGAGGTGCACTGTGAGTACGAGATTTGTGGTRCGTTGCTACGGGTATTTAAGTCCCTGTATAACCGGTGCAAGYCACGAGAGTTTGGTCTGCATTGCCAGCCATAAGCTGAACTGCACCAGAGGTGCCTGTTGTCCCTTTTTCTGGACTATTTTTTCTGTGCAGCCAGGAGGCAGAAGGGGTCCGGTTTGGTGACCTCAGATTTCCATCTCTGGTTATTGTGGACGATGTGGTCCTGTTTGTGTCATCCAGCTCTCACTAGAGCCCTTCGTAGCCAAATATAAATAGGCCGGGATGAGGGTCAGCACCTCCAAATCCAAGGCCATGGTCCTCGGGCAAAAACAGGTGGACTGCCCTCTTTGGGTTCGGAGTGGGGAAGGGTTAGGGTTAGTGGTTGTGATGGTGCTGCCTCGAGCTTTACTTATGAATAAGCAGAATGGGCTATGAGATGACTGAGAGATGTCTTTTAACTCCAGCTTTAGTTACCAATAGTGCACTTTTCCTTCATTCATCATTAACCGGTGCATCAAACATGGATAAGAGTAGASAGTGCTGTTATTTAAAAACAGCAGATGGCTATTTTACTAAGTAGAACATCACTTTGCACCTTTGTGGGTCATCTAATGAGTCCCTTGGAAACAGTTTTGTCCAGTCAGTAATTAGCCAAAGCTTAGTGATTGACCCAGAGAGCAGATTATTTCAGAGCTGATATTCGGTGGTATTCCCCTTTGATTCAGTCAATTAAGAAATGACTACTCTCTAAATCCCCTCAACAGCTGCTGCTGTATGTGTTTGCTGCTTTGTGCTTGTTTCCGTTGATTTTTTAATGCTGCTTACATTTTTCTGTTTCTTTCATGTTACTTGGAATCTCTGAAACAAAAYTCCTGCAAAACATAATTTACTTTCACTTGAGAAAGTAGCACTAGGTTTGAACACTAGATGATGCTGGAGGATGCTGTTCATCCTTTTTGGCCTTTATTCACTCAGCGCCTCCTGGTTCCTTTTTTAATCATGTACAGGGCTCATATCACGATGATGTCAAGACTGTTTATTCCACCACAATAAATAGCCATTTGCCATGTATTGCATACAGCTACATGTGTTTAGCGTAGCAGTACTACACATTGTTAGTGATGTAGTTCTCAGAAAACCATCAGAGACAATCCTACTGCACCAGACATTCCATTCTGAAATCCGTGCACACTTTACCACACATTAAATCTCTGTGCACGATTAGTGTCAGCCCTCTCTGAGGCACCAGGACCTTAAAGTTTAAGATGAAGGCAGTCGGAGACGAACAAAGGCGCGCTCAGCAAGGCTCTCACTGGAGCTTGATTCAAGATACAGGTTGACGTGAATTGAAGAGGCATTTTGTTGTTTAGCCCACAGGAGAGTGGAGAAGGCAATCCAAGACCGTGCAATTTAAAACTTCTGGAAATTTCTATCCGAGGACCTCACTAAACCATTAAATCAATAGTAGCAACCTATTGCTTTTGGCTTTTTTTAACAGGTTGGGTTTGCCTCCTTACAGTCTTAACAATGAGCATATAAAACCTTTTTTTGTTGTTGATTTTGAAGGAAAAATTCTCACTTTTAACAGGAATCATCTCATTAAACTAACAAAGAAAGCTTACAGTACAACAAGAGGTTTAAAAACAGTATTTTTGCATTGATAATGCGATCTTGAGTAAAATGCAACCCCCACTTTTTGAGCTTAAAAAGCCTTAATTTCCCTCTTACCCTTAATTTCATACAAGCTTCAAGATTTTTCAGCGTTTGTGGTCCGTATACTTATCAATAAATTGTTCATTTAATGATTGTGGTATCAGACCTTTTTACTTTATTTAACTTCGTAGCAGCTTCAAAGAAGAAACGACYTTTAGAATGAGAAATGTTCTAGGAGACGGCTTTGCCAATTTGAGGGTGCCATCACAAATATCTTARGAGATTTGCATACGGAACTGATTATTTCGGGGATACCTACTTTCGCAAAACACAACTAAAGCCTGGTTAATCTGCATGCTCGATAGGACCAGATGATCTGCTCCTTGGAGCTGTCCATCTTGCCAATTTAATAACCGGCTCTTATGAGCAGACCATTATCAGTGAAATGACACACAGAAGAAGAGCTCACTGCGTAGTCCGCAAGTGTCAGCAGGAGGTAAGAGACGGAAGCTACGCAATTTTRGTAAGCGAGATGTGCGATGTATCAGCCTTAAATGCAAATGGCAGTCAGTACAGACAGGTGGTTTGCCAGAAAATACACAATATTTCAACAACATTGAATCAACAAGTCTATCTTATATGTGCCTCGCTTCAACAGTTTAAGAATAATATTTACATTTCCGGTGTTCCAATGCTGACATAAGAGGGACCACCTGTAGGGGTTTTGACCAGGGTWTTGATAAGTATTATGAGAACATGTGAGAACTTAGCTATCCGGGCATCCAATCTGAACATTTCTTTACAATACATATAAAATCTGTTCAAATTTACTCCTGTGTATCATACAACCCCCACTTTATGAATGATGATTGGGGTTAAAAGTTTTTGCATTATACACACACAAATACAGCAGATAAACACAATTCTTTGATGCAAGCTGAACGTGGTCTATAGCTGGCAGCCCTGCAAAGARGCACCACCCCTTTCCTCCCTTGTTGTCCTCTTGCTCAGCCTAACGCACAAGCTTGTTTTTCTCCCATGTTTCCATAGGGCTGTCCGGCCCACCCTGACAGGCCCCACTCCAGACAGGCCCCACCCAGGAGCCCCCTGTCCATCTCTGTAAGACGACCCAGACCCCTAACCTGCCCCCRTTTTTTGCCCTTCACCTTCTCACCGCACATCCCCATGAACTCATTACTCAGTCACTTATCAAAGAGGATGTCTGAACACAAGTGAAACACACACGTAGAGAATCACAAAGGAAAACATGTAAACACTAAAACAAAAGCTACATATGCACATGTTCACTTCCTTGTGTTGGTGTGTGTTTGTGCGTGTAGTGTCACGTTAGTTTGCAGCTTCATCCCCATGTGTTTGATTTGGTTGCTGTTTTGTGTTTCCACAAATATTTTGGCTTTGTTGTTTCACTGTGTGCTAATTTGTGACACGTGGTGGGTAAACCATTCTGTGTGTGTGTGTGTTGTGTCGGTATGATTTTAGCACATGGTGAAATAGCCGGTAAAGGGGTCCAGTTTATTTTCCCTCAGCCTCCGACAAATCGGTATCCAGTTGTTTAATGTGTGTTTGTGTGTACATCTGTCTCCCGTAGGAGCAGCAGAGACAGGTTGAAGATCCGACCAGAGAAGTGAAGAAGGTCAGTAAGAAGTTATCCTTGAAGTTGTGCGTGACACACCTCTAAAACACGTATACCATAACGCTGCAATGTTATTGAAAAAGTGTTATTTGTCGAAAAAACAATGTATATGTATATGTTTTCCTAAATTGTATTAAATTGTTTTTTAATACAAATTGTGCGTGCCCAAAAATCAAGCCTAAAACAATGACCCGAATCAGCTGGACTGTATTATCTTAACATTAGCATACATGTCAACCTCTTTGGACGTTTACCTGTATAAAAAGCCTAAAAAATCRGTAAATTTTGCAAAAAAATRCGTAGAYCTCGCACCCGCGTGGGGTGGGGGTGGGGCGGGGTCTGTCGMCTGCGGACATGAAAGCGCCTGCTGCGAAGCAGGAGGAGAGGAGAGCGGAAAAAGTTCAAAACATTTCTAGCGGCAGAACAGMTTGGAAGATGGCTGTTTGATGTTATTTATTGTTTTTTAAATCATCCTACAGGCTCTGACATGTTAGATAAATTTGAAAATGAGGTTTTGATAAAATCCATAAAACTTGAAAAAATCCGTGAGATTGCTCTATACGTCCGTATGCCTGCAAAATGACGTAAAATCCTTATAACTTAAGGACAATCCGTACAAGTTGACATGTGTGCATTAGCATTATTCATAATCAAGTGGTGCCTGCAACTACCCACTGCAGTAACCTGACTTAACGTATCCTATAGTAGTGTCCTTATGTGTGACGGAGTATTAAGTGCAAAGGGGTCACTAGAAACTTAGTGTTAGACGTACGACCAGACAGTGGATTTGGGCTTTAATAATTCCACAGGTGTTCTAGATTACACTTACCAACAGACCAGGTGGTTCTGTGGGTCATGCCAGCATATTAAAGCTGTTCGTTAAAGGGATCCCTGATTAGTTGTAACATTAGACTTTATTTGATAAACATTTATTTTAACTGTTGTTTAAAGACTGTAAAAATACTGTAGGCTGMTTAGTTTTGTAAATTTTAAAAATATATTTTAACACAGACGGAGCCATTTTATTCACACGCAAAGCATTCTGGGTAAATGATGACGTGGATAGGTCCTCGGTGTGAGCGAGCTATATCCACCCTGAAGGTTAATCTTGGACAATATCTGATGATCAACTCTTTTAAATGAAACCAGAGAGCGTTGACAGAGAGGAGAAGGTAGAAATGACTCAGCCTGGAACTGAAAGTATGGATGGAGGACAACAGAGCTGCTTCATGGAAGAACCCCAGCTAAGCCTGTTAGCCTTTGCGCTAGCGCCAATGCTATATTGCCTTATATGTATTAGCTCGGTGCTAGTGCGACAAACAAGCTAAACTGAGGTCCTCCATCCATATTTTCAGTTGCAGACGGAGTCATTTTTGTGTTCCCCTCTCTGTCATGTGGATGAAGGACCTCAGTGACGAGAGGAGAATGTGTAGCGCTGAGCTAATACATATACTGTATATGGTGATAGCATCGAGGCTAACGCTAAAGCTAACAGGCTAAGCTGAGTTTCTTCTTCCATGAAGCAGCTCTGTTGTCCTCCATCCATATTTTCAGTTCCAGGCTGAGTCATTTCTACCTTCTCCTCTCTGTCAACGCTCTCTGGTTTCATTTAAAAGAGTCGATCATCAGATATTGTCCAAGATTAACCTTCAGGGTGGATATAGCTCGCTAGCAGCCTCGCACCGAGGACCTATCCACGTCATCATTTACCCAGAATGCTTTGCGTGTAAATAAAATGGCCCTGTCCGTGTAATATATTTTTAAACTGTTAGTTAAAAAATGATAAAAAATGAACATCCTACAGTATTTTTACAGTCTTTATTTTACAGTTAAAATATATGTTTATTAAATAAAGTCTAATGTRACAACTAATCATGYATCCCTTTAAAACAACAAGAATACCCTCCTCAAGCTTCATTAACCAACTCCCAAATGAAATATAAGATTGGTAGAGTTGTGATAATTTTCTGAAGATATAATAACCACTCCTGTTGAGTCATTTTAAAGTATCTAAATCATCGTTTTTACCTATATTTAATAAGTAAAAGACCTTTTTTTGGGATCAACTTAATATTTCCTTGTGGTTGGCTTCTAAAGGTGCGTAAGGCYCGTAATCGACGTCAAGAATGGAACGTCCTGGCCTACGATAAAGAGTTTAGACCGGATGCCAGGCTCACCCCTTCTCCTTACCATGGCATGTCCTCTGAAGGCTCCCTATCCCCTGACAGCAGGTACACACACACATGCACACATTCACAAACAAATGACACWCAAATTACAAATACAGGAGCTATTTGCCAGTTGGCCATTCTACAAAGTACCTGATTCCTTATTGTCTCGTTGTTTACAGGTTTAGTTAAGGTTTAGTRTAGCAGGTTTGTGTACAATATGGAGACTAAACTCCACCAACCTACTCCTGTATTTAAAGTTCTGTGCTGCCCTCTTCTGGAAAATTTCACTCGGAGCTCATGGAAAACTGTGGACTTGAGCAGATTTTCATTCAAGCTTCTGTGAGGGCAAACATAAAATTTTTGAGGAAAGGTTAAAAAGCTGAAGTAGCAAGGCGTAGAATGCTAAAAAGGATAGAAAGTGAATCTGTAAGTAGATGGTGTCAGGATGATTTATTTTAAAGATTAATGCAGTTGATGCTTGCTGTGAGATGATCCATTTTTCTTTCATGCGTTTTTGTACTATTTCAATAATTCACATTTCAAAATGTTTAACTCTTACTGGACATTGCGACTATGATTTTTGGTATTTCAGCAATATACTCCTTAGATATTTAGCCTTTTTGGTAATTTTTGTTGTCGTTGAAAGTTATTTCAACATCCTTAAAAATCCTTCAAATTAGTGCCTTTTACACCTTTTATTTTGGTTCTGCTTTTTTGTTTTAATTCTTTGTGCTTATTTTAGCTTCCTTCAGCTTCTTTCTGCTAATTTAGTCTGTTAATGCTTCTTTCAGCTGTTTTCTGCAATTTAAGGTGCTTTTTAGCTATTTTCAGCTAATATTAGCCTTTTTTCAGCTAAATTCACCTTTTTTTGTGATCATTTCAGCAACTACTTTCAGCTGCTTAATTCAGKAAGTATGTGCTCTTTCTGATACTTTGTGCTGAATTCAGCTTTTTCAGATACTTTTAGCTACTTTTATATGTTCAGCTTTGTTTTGGCTATTTTACCACAAATTGCAAATTTTTTTTTACATCTTTTCTTTTTTTCTGCAAACATCTTTCGGCATTAAGCATTCACGCTGCACTTTAGCAGAAAAAGCAAATTCTCTAGTTTTTAATTGGTTCAACATGTTTTGATCATCGAGTTTTAAGATTTTCACTCACCGTCTCAATATCGATCCAAAAGGTCAATGGCATCTGACTCCTACCCAGCAAGCCCCAACCACCCCTCAGCCCAGGCCTCCAGCACCGCTCACCCTGCGGACCACCATGCCCGGGACCATCTCAATGCAGCCCAGACTCAGTCACTGGATCGGGGTCTTAGGCCAGTTAATCAGCCCCCAGGAGCTGCTGGGGCTGCAGCAGGTCGGCATGTGGCCTCTCTGGGCAGGACTCCTTCAGGACATGGGGTCCAGGCTGGAGGAGATCCCACAGTTAATGGACCGAGGCAGCAGTCAATTAAAGACTACCGAGCCGGACACAGGTAGGTTTCTTAATTTTACTCAGAAACTACAGTACATTCTGGATCCTGTTTCGTTAGTTTTAAGTTAACGTTCTACTTCTTTTAGATATAACAACTACATTTCAGCTACTTCAGCAAATTTTAGCAGCACTCTACATTTTAACAGAAAATGCAGTTTCTCTAGTTTGTGCTCTTCTCTCTAAATAGTTTAATCCATTTTTGAATATGATATATTATGTTTATGATAATGCTCACCTGTCTGCTTTCATGTGTCGAGGATTTTGAACATTGTGTAAATACTTTAATGCCTGAGTTAACATCATAGTCTAAGTTCACACAGCAGGCAAAATGCCTCATCGAAAAACCCATATTGGACTTTTCATGACAGTGAACATGACGAATCGGTCTTTTCCAATCCGACCCAGGCCTTTTCAGTTTGTGGTACTAAATCAGATACCTTCCCCATCTGATGTATTTCAGACACTTCAGTCTGAGTGCTGGTGTCACATTTCATTTCACTTTTACATCAGATTTTCATACGTGTCAACCTCTTTGGACATTTACCTGTATAAAAAGCCTCAAAAATCTGTAAATTTTGCAAAAAGACCATAGAACTCGCACCCGCGGGGGGGGGGGGGGGGG